TATTCCGGAGGCGGCTGCGACGGATTTATCGGAGCCAGGCTGATCTCCGTCGGACTGCGCAGCGGGCCCGGGCTCGTCGGTGGTAGATTCCGCGGCTGCGACTGCGTGTGCGTGTGGCGATGCGACTTTCTGCTCCCGCCGCTCCTTCGTTTTCCCGACGTCGCAGTGGAGGCCGGCGACGGCGGCTGCACGTTCGTCGTCAGCTGCGGCAGGTTCTGCGATGCTATCGCTTGGTGGTGCTGCGCGAACGTCCGCGCGTCCATCTGGCTTTCCCCCTCGCGAACACCGGCTCGCCCGCTCTCGAGCAGGATGCTGCCGGCTTCGTTACCGTACGGCGGTGGCGGTGCGAGACTGCCGGTGATCGGTGCCAGTCCCCATTTCTTCACGTTGGCCTCGATGAAGACGAATCCCAGCTGGCCAAAGTTGATGTGCAGCTTCGCGGGACCCTTGGCGCCGACGGTAGGGAAAAAGTTGTGCGACTTGAGCCCGTGGCAGACGTCGTCGAGTTTCTTGCCGTTGCGGGTGAAGAAGATCGTGCCGGTTCGCGGGCGGTAGCCGACGCCGATGACGTCGCCTTGTCGGTAGAGACTCGCATACGGGGTGCCGATGAAGGGCTGGTTGTACCGGCGGCTGCCGTCCGACAGATACGCTACGGAATGCTTGTGGTAGCCTGCATAGAAAAAATACACGTCAGCTTCGACCTGCGGCATAGAGAATGACGAGGAACGACATACCAGGCAGGCGGAACATGGGGTACGGCTTGGTGGTCATTCCGATCGATATGAGCGTCGTCTCGGGCTTCTCGAAAATCTTCGTTTCCCAGTAGTAGACTTCGTTCTGTTTGGGCACGGGCAGGTTGCTCTGGACGGAGCACTCGGTGTCGAAAAATTCAACCTCGGTGCGGGCTTCGACGAAACAGTTGGCGATCTCGAGCTCGGCTTCGAACTCCCAGGCCGAGACGCCTTTCTCCTGGATGGCGAGGAACTGCGATAGCGAAATGTCGGTCGGAACGGAGTCGGGCGGGTTGGCCTCGATGAAAGCTGTCAAAACGGTATTAGCACATTCATCCATAAACATTCTCATAGATCCTCCAAATAAAAAAAAAAATAGTGATGATAATAGTGTGAACTCACCCCTCGCTCGCCAGTACTCTTGCCGGTCCAACTCGTCCATGGTTTCCAGAGCCTCGGCCTCTTCCCGCAGGAAGGCCTGCTCGTCGTCAAACTCGCCGGGTCGGCCCAGCCGGTCGAGCAGTATTCGGCCACGATTCGTGAATTTCAGAAAATATATGACAGCGATGACCATCAGCACGAAGGCGGCCGACCCGAACGCCGACAGAAGAGCGATCAGCACCCCCCGACCGGGGGAGGTGTCGATTTCATAAGCCATTACCGCCATCGTGACGGACGGACGACGGATGCCGACCGTGAAGCCGTCGGGGGGCAAGAAACCAGATGGCGATGGTCGGATGCGATCGAGGATTGGATGGTTCTCAGGTCCGACGGCGGAGAAGAGAGGCGGAAGGATATGGTTGTCAGGCGACCGTTGGAGAAAGTGACAGAGATTCCGCTTGTGGTGGTGGCGATGGTGTGCGGGGACGGAATGGTTGATTTCCCTCAGCCGCCCAAATTATCGGAAATCAAGCAAGTGACTTGTATCGTATCAGGAGTCTATGGCGCACGGCTTCGATGAGGGAGAACACCCGGGTCGGAGGATGTCCTTTGGTGTAGAAGGTTGCGATGTGGGTAAGGCAGCAGCCAATGCGGCGATGGTGTCGAGAAGATGTAATAAGAGAAGATTCGAGTGCGATGGAGGCGAAGGCGAAGGCGAGGGAAAGAAGCGGAGGCTGCCTGCGGGCGGGTCAGCTGTGTGTTGGCAGCCGACGGGCCCACCTTGTTTTTTTTAATTCTCGCAGTCACGGCAGAAAGACCAGCCGGTAGACGCTTCCGCCAGCCTCAGGTGGTTTCGGGTCCCGATGGTAATATACACGGAGTGCGAAGCAAGTGAGTATTCCTGCGATCTGGTCTCCCACCGGCTGCGACTGGTTGACGTTCTCGGAGGGGGCTGCTGCTAATGCCCGGCTGCGATATTTGCTATCAGGGTGGCGGAGGCGGTGAGCACGACAAATCCTGCCCCGTTGGAAATCCCACTCTCACGGACGATTACACTACACGCAAGGAAGAATAGAACAAGAACAATAACAAGAAATACGAAATACGAAAAAAAGACTACCTGTCGAGAGGAAAGGAAAGAAGAAAGAAGAGGCACAAGCTGCTGGAAGGTCCAAGATTATACCTCAGCCGGGCATCCAGGTCGAGAGCAGCCTCGAATCAGGCTTCCGCTGCTGCCCTCGCTCGCGATAAAACAGGTCTCACGCCAGACTGCGAACGCGGCCTAGTGGCCTCCCGGACCCGGCGGGCTGTCCAAGATGAGACCTGAGACTGCTTCTGACGGGTAGGCGCCGCCAGAATTAACCTCGTTCTCGCTCTCGAAACTTTGACAGGAGACGACTCCTCCAACGGCTGCGCCGACTTGAAACCGCGTCCTCGTCCACTCACTCACCCTCACTCGCCCTCTCTTCGACCATTCTCTCCTTTTCTATGAGATGAATCGAATCGGCCCTAAGAACGCGGGCGTTCGTGGAGCAAACATTTTGCCGTACATGTCCTGCACGAAGCAGCAGCAACTGAACCTTTCTCGCAAACATGAATCAACAGCCTCTTGCAATTAACACCAGATTAACATTGCCGGCAGGTACATTACTGACAGCGATGTATGTGCTCACTTCAACGTACCCTCGGCACGTACGGCTGATACAAACGATGCGCATTGCCTCGCAGGATTACATGCAACTTCGTATTCCAATGTCCTCAAAATGCATACGGCGTACATACATCCCATAGTTACTTGCACTCTTCATGGAAGGAAAACCCGCCAGCCGCATGGATCTCCCCTCGCCATTCACCAACATGCAGCGCCGTCCCATACACCCAGCGCGGCTTTCGTAGTAAAGTGGACACTTCACTCAATGTATTCAACAGCGCTGCCTGCGTCTGCGTTACGGTAGGTAAGTAACTTTATTCTCTATTCGTATCGTTGCGTTCCCCGCGACTCGATACCGGACGGTACCTGCACATATTTTGGTGCCATGTATTTTTATATCAATCTGCTGCTGCTGCTGCTGCTATATTTGTCAGTCGCCCGACCTTCTGCCTCCAGCGCTGCAGCGGGCGGGCGCACGGCCAAGCAGGCAGGGGGAGGCCCCGACTTTCGCCCTGCGTGCGCCTGCTTGGAGGGCGGACAAGGTCTGCCTGCCTGCGGTTATGCAAATCACCATCCATCGTTTTAGTTATCCTGATCCCCGGGATCGCTGCTATATTAAGAGCCACCCGAGCAGTTCCACTAAGAAAGCCCGAGACTGCTAAGAAAGAGACGTTCCGACTCCCTCCAACAGCTAGTTCGATCCCCTTATCTCCAAATCCAGCGAACAATGGCTGCACGCGTTCGTCGCAGACCGAGCGAAACCAACGTACGTTCACGTTCCATTGCTCGTTTGCAAATCAATCAATCGATCGATCAAATCGTGAAATATGCATGGACTCCGAGTCTGAAAGAAGCCTTACGAGTATGTTTGTACTCCGTATGGCGAATATTATTCCTGACACGGTGAAAATCAGGGTCGACTCCGTCGGCAGGCAGTGTTTCTTTTCAAGTTGATTGATTTGGTTCGTCTTGATTGCCCTCACTTCGCCTCTCCGTGAAACGCTAGCGCTGCACAACGTTTAATTCAATATCTCCGCGCTCACGTAATATATATACCATTATAAATATAATATTTTTTAATATATGCCGCGAGGTCCCATAGCACCCATCCAGCATATCGAACTCGAACATCTGGTATTAAATTGCAATTGCAACTCGCTGATTATCCATTCAAAAGTCTGCCACGCTTGCGCCAATGGCACGACAAACAAACACTCGCCATGGAGACACAAGCTGGATACTTGCATTTACAATTCAATCGATCGTACAGGTACAAAACGGCCGGCTGCGTGCCTACCCCGAGAAACTCCATCCCGCAGCATCCCTGAAATGGTAGCACCGCGATACGAATACCACCATCCCAGTGCTTGTTAGTCCTGGTACACCGTGCCGACCACCTACCTCAATATCACGAATGTACCCCGTCGCACAGGGTCGACTGCCACCATAGGCCTAGGCACGCACTACTAGATCCCCGGGCCCGAGATATCACGATAGCACAGCATAACATTACTCGTACGTTCGTGACTCGACTCGCACACCTCACTTATATAATTACTTCTTAGTACACTTCGGACGTACTGCAACAGTACAAGTATCCTTGTCCGCTGCACGTGTGATAACATGTAATATCGCGTGCATATGTCGCCGCCCGCAAGCAGGCAAGCAGCACCGCACAAAGGCCAGCTCAGCATCATATCATCAATCTCGAGACTAAAACTACCTACTAGTATACTAAGTCAGTAAGTACTTACTTACTTGAGTGTCCGGTCGTCGTGAAAACAGTCGGTCGCCATGTGCAGGCCCGATATGGTCTTCCAGCTGAGCATGAGGGCGCGCAGCCACATGGCGTCGCACGCCTAACAAGCCAGGAATGCAGCTTGAGAGAAACGCCCTGACTGAGCGCCAGCTGCTATTTCACGCGGAGCATTTTTTTTTTTTTTCTACCACTAGCCAGTACTAGGCTTTTGCTTTGCGTCCCGTAAATTTCCGTTCATCTGCGAATCTTGATCTTTGGAATGTGAATTACATCACAATGAAATAAATGATGCCGAAGATCCGCCATTTCTGTCGTTCCGCGCTGCCAGAATTTGTGAAATCGCCATGCGCAGCCGGAACTCGAGTGCACAAACCTTCCAAATCGATTCCTCGAGAGTCAAAATAGTAAAAAATGGCATGATTATAGAGAAAAAAAAAGTTAACGGCTGCAGAATTAGTAAAAAAAAAGGCAAAAGAATCGCCCCCTGCCAGGCTCGAACTGGCGACCTTCAGATTGCAGCTTGCGAAGTTTCCTTCGTAAAAGTCTGACGCTCTTCCGATTAAGCTAAGGGGGCAATACATCGGCCTGGCAGTCAAATGTCATTATCAAGCTCGTTTCGGTCGTCATGTTGCATTTTAGGTTGCTCGGCTTGCCAACACAGATGTTGTGATACAAGTAGCAACCCTACACTGAAGCCCTGGAACGTCATGTTGGGGCTGCTTTACAACATTAACCAAAGCGCATGGATATACTTGTTGCCTATAGATACATTGACATACATATATGCATAGCGTAGCGCCTATCTGATTCCACGCGCTTCCATAATATGGACCTATACGGTCATCCCCAGCATATAATAGAAACTTCTTGTCCACTAGGAACTATCATCCATTGAATATAGGATCTAGTTTACGAGACAATAGTATTCTGCCCGCTCAAGCACCGGTAAGACTCGGGGTCGCATCGAAGCCGGATGTATAATGAGGTCTCTTGCGTGGGTTTGACGTGCGTATATCCATCTCGCTCGCCGCATGCCGTCTCGGGAAAACTGAGATCGATCACGGCGTGGATTTGAGGCTGTTTCGCTCCCAATGTGAATATCGCGACTTCAAGCGCTCTACTATTACATCCGTTGGCACCATGTATAGTTCCTTTTCTCTCAAATATATTGATCAAAATCGGGTATTGTTTATATTGTCCAGCATCTTGGTTCGAGCACTAGATAACTACGCCGACACCCTCAAGCATACCTGAAATATAATATCGTCAATTTGAGGATCATATAACATGGCCCCGATACTCACGAAAGCCCTACTTGGGCTGCTCCCCGGTCTCGCGACAGCCTACTCCATCGGCTGGGGCACATGGGACGAGCTCACATCGATCGACTACACGCCAGTCCCCAAAATCGACCGTGCTAACCCGCCCTGCAACGCCATCCCAAATCCTCCCGGCGACACTCTCGAAATCTTCGTCCGCGCAGCCTGGTACGAGACTCTACCATACTACATCGCAATCTACGGCGTCCCTCCCACGCCCGAAGAAGCCTGCAGCCCAGACACCGTCGAGGCCATCTACGCGTTCGACTTTTTCTCGAATCGAGAAATGCAGGGCGCGTGGGTCAGCTCACCGGACGCAGCATACTGGCAGGAAATCTGGCCGAACTACGGACCCTCGACGCCCGTGCACGAGCTGATCAACTACTTCGAACTGCGACATCCTCAGATCTTGGTGCCGATGCCGGATGCACCTGGTCCGATAAAGTGGGGTGTGGCGGAGGAGACTGTGTATACCGCGCCGTGGGACTATGTGCCGCCGCCGGGCAGCCGTATTTTTAGCGGCTCGGAGGGCAATGGGATGGATATGGTTGATAAGCTCCCGATGATTGGAGGTGGTAGTGTCGCTGGTGGGATGGGAGGCGGCACTGGGATTTCGTTGCAAAATGTACAAAATGTACAGGATGATGAGATGTATCAGGCCGATCAGGGGATGGGAGACGAAGCTCAGATATACGACCAAACTTTCGGGCAGAATATGCCAGACTATGATTGGGAATATTGATAAATCCTCATGGTTCCGTCACTACGTCGAAGACCGGATGCAGTTTGAAATCGGAATGAAAGGAATCAGCGTTCTATTGATCAAGTTGTCTTGTCTCATAAAGCTGGACAGCCTGGGCTAGCGAAGAGGGTCGTCTTTAAAGTTCATTGATGCTATTTTATTACGAGATTTATATCTACACGTTAACCCGAAATCATGACGGCTCGTCCTTCTGGTGAACTTGAATCAGATACAGGCTATGTTAGCATATGTGTTAGCAGCCACAAATACAAGACGGGCAGGTATATAAAACTTGGATTTTGATTTGATACCATGATATGATATCAGCATAGAGCTGCGCAATTGTATTCTGATCTGGTTTCATACGAAGGGTAAGTAGTATACGGCTCAACTATAACGAACAGTACCTTATCGTCCTTCCGGTCTCAAGGCCAATATATGGTCGCGTTACGACATTACATTACAACTTAACGTAACAAAACGTACTGCCAAGATTGGTGGATCTCTAAATAGACACTCAGCTGTCAGTGTTTGGTTTGCGGGGCAATCCCAAAACGTTGTGGAAATTTTGTGTTGCGTAACAATCATTCGCGTAACACAGCTGGCGTTGGCAGGGAGATCATAGCAACAATCAAAACAAAGCGCCGTGACGTTTCATCGAAGAACATCGATGCTCCACAATTCAATACTACCATATGACTTTTATTAGCCTCAAAACCTCACGATAACCTCACGATCGCGATATAGAATATGCCCGTCGACGTCTGCCGAAAGCGCGGCCTCGACACCGCCTTCAAAGACAGCAGACCCAAACGATTGCGCTACACAAACATCCACGGCACAGACCCCACGCACCTAGCCTGCGACGAGGCCACAAACAGCTCGTACATTCTCGACTGGCTGCGCGAGATCCGTAGATACGACTCCCTCAACTCACCAACAATGGACGGTGTCGGCGCTGGACGCGGCCGCGAAAGCCCTTTACCTCCACTACAATCCCTCCACATCGACGACCAACAGCAGCAGTCCCCTACACCTTCAAAACCGCGAAACCCGTCCCCTAAGCGTGCGTACTCCGAGATTTCAAGAAGCAGCAATACCGGCATCCCATCCGCGCGCACTCCAGATGTCACGAAGAAGGTCACAAATATACCCCGCAAGATCGCTGCGGCGGCCACCAGGCGGAACAGCTCCAGCTCGCGGTCCTCGCAGGTCTCGACGGGCACCAAGTCCCGCAACACCAGTCCGACAAAGTACACCGCTTCAACGACAATATCGGTCCGCCGATCGCGGATGCGCAGCTGCGACCCGCCTTTCATATTCGGCCACAATCATTATCTGCTGCAGGGGAAGAGAATGCCGGTGGACGTTGTCGAGATGCGACGGCTGTTCAACAGCGATATATTGGTCGAGCAGTCGCTCGACCGCCGGAAAATGGTATGCAGTCGTCTATCTGGCCTGCTGCTGTCTCACCGTACCAAATACTGATGTGTGTATCAATGCATATATAGGACGAATTGAAGGATGCTTATCCGGATGAACATTTTGCCGAGCACCTCTTCACAGACACGCCGAAGCACGGCGACGCCCTGTGGGAACATGTCGAAGAGATCTGGCTGCGCGGCAACGAGAACTTCCATAACGACTCAGACGAGGCGTCATGGTCTAAGCTCGTTGAACTAATTTGGGAGGGCATTCCCAAACGCGGACTTAAAGCTGCCCGGCCCTCCCTGAAAGTGACACCTGCGTTAGTCCTCTCATATATCCTGACGATGAATTGACCGCACTCCCATCGTACTCATGCTAATGCTTAACATACGCTACATAGCATCAGCCGTACGATTTCCGACAACGTCCGCTCGACTAAAGCGCCTGACCTCAAATCTGACATCCTAATCGAAGCAAACCCCTACTTCCCCTCCCCCTTCCAGCAGTCCCGGGACGCCGGTCTTCGCCCACCGCCCGAAATCGAGCATTCCTTCTCGCCTTCTACACATCCTTCGTCTGAATACTGCCCAGCCTTCTGTGCAATAGAAGTCAAAGCTGAGCGCGGTGACGCGCAGGAAGCGCAGACGCAGGCAGCGGTGCTGGGAACTGCTATATTGATGAAGGCGCGGGAGATCGGCGCGGGCGAGGACGTAGTACCATGCGTGCCGGCTGTGATGGCGATAGGGAAGGCTTGGAGCCTCAACCTGATATACGAGGAGGCTGACAAGGGCGTGGTGAGTATTCCTTGATTCTGTGATGTTTGAGCACCCATGGAGTCGATGGCGCTAACGAGGGTGTGTAGGTCATAGCAGGCCCTTGGCCGATCGGCGAGACGTATTCGATTCTCGGCACGCTGAAGGTCGTGTTAGCAGTCGAGGCGATGCGCGAGTATGCGAGCGGGAAGTGGTGGGCGGATTTTGTGAACGGCAGTTGCCGGACGCTGCTTGACCAGCAGGTCTACGATTACGAGGATCTCCGAGAGGGCGACGTTGAGGAATCTCTCGACTAGTGCACGCAAATTTACCCATTATGCCAGCATTTTATAAATTTACAACAACCCTGCCATCTACCTACATGTGCTATCATCAATATTGATGGTACAAGACTTACGATGTGTAACATGAGCCCCGTCGACGACACGGGCAACACGCAATTTTGGAGCGTGCAGTATTCCAAGCGTGCAGTTTATCCCGAACCGCCTCACAACTGCCTCAATCTCGATTAAACTGCCTCTGCAAATGATCGCATCAGTGCATGATTGGGGCTCCTCTGCCATGCGTTAGCCATCGCTCTCACGATCGATCAATATCGTGCTCGAGTATCCGAATTGTACACGACATGCGAATACCTCTAGCACGCACCGAGCCATGCGTCTCACCGTCACCTTAGTCGCCATAATTCTGCCCACACTGGCATACACCTACCAAATCGCCTTTACGGGGCCAAACTCCGAGGAAGATGGCTACGAATACACTCCTGCCATCACTCCAGATTACGAAAGTCTGTCAAGACTATGCCTGCCCACCCCGTTGTTCGAAGACGGACCTCTAGAAGTCCTCGTCCGCGCAAGGTCACCAGGCTACGACGGTCCCATATGGCCCTTCGAACTACGACCTGATATCGACAGCGTATCCTCACGGCCGGTACCCGCTTACATTGCTCTCTACAGCGGAGAATACACGCTTGCAGGACCCTGTAACCCGCGTGCTCTAGAGCAGATTATCGCGTTCGATGCAACCGCGCAGGACGTCCAGCTCGTTGCTAAGATCGCTAGCGACGACGTGACGTACTGGCGGGAAATAGCCGACACGGCTGCGGCGGAAGAGGAAGCCGCGACGGGAACGTTAATCGGCAGGTTGATTGATGAGTACCGGCTTGCGCCTGGTGATATGTTGGTGCGGCTGATGGATGGGGATTGGCGGGCGGACGGAGATTGGGAGAAGATAGGTGATGCGGTGACGATATTCGGGTATAATGACGATATCTTTGCCGTGCCGCCATTGCAAGGATATCAGCTAGCGGATG